TCCCTGCTGAGGTCACTGAAGCTCATCCTTGCTGGTTGCAGGGACTTTCACTAGCCTTGTTCAGTGGCCATTGTAATATAAGCAAACAGGGTAACTGCAATCTTATTTTCCAGTGATGGTCAGGCATCACATTGGGCAATACTCTTAACGTGCCTTTCCACTACCTTTTTGACCTGTTCACCCAGTGGTATAAGTGCCCCATATGACTAGGTGACAGTTCAGTTTCCATTTCAGAAGTACCATTATACCACTATGTCTTCCTTGAAGCTAGCAGAGTTTCTACTTGCAAGAATAGAAAGAAAACTTTAGCAAGTAGGTTTTTAGGTTTTAGTTTGAGGCCTGTGGTGTGATGCCAATGGCTCCTCAGCTACTAAGCCCATGCATCAAATGCTTGAATCTTAAAGTCTTCATAATATGAATGTTTAGTGGTTGCACATCCACAATTTTCTGTTTTGCATTTGACTATTTTCATGTCCATTTGGCTGGGATTTCATAAATCCTAAGATAACAAACTCTGCAGCAGACTCTTTGGCACCCTCAGGTGTGCTCCTGCTGGGCTGGGCTGAGCCTTTTAGAGAGGCCAGAGAGAGACAGGTGAGCTTGGCATTGCCCAGGTGGCCCTTTAGTTGCCTTTTCTTGGGTATGTACCTCATAATCAGTCTGTTAAAATGAACAAGTTGTATCAAAATGGCAATTTTGATCAAAACCCTTAAAACTGCATTATCCTTTAACCTAGAATTTCCACTTTTAGCAGAAAAATCGTTACACATTTACACAAAGACTGATATGGATGGATATTTCTAGCAATGTTGTTTACAGTGACAACAATCTAGAAATAATATTTCAGCAATAGGGTAATAGTTAAATAAAACTGAACACCTTGCACTTAATAAAAAGTGTAATTTAAATCTATTGAATTGGGGAGAAGATCCCTATATGCCAAGAGAGAAAAACAGATTACAAAAAAGGTAACACCATACGATCCCATTAAACATAATTTGTTTCCATGCAGAAAAATCTGGAAAGATATATGTACATCAAAGTTATCTTTAGGTGCTGGGATAATGGGTGATTTAATTTTTCCTCAGCTCTATAACTTTTCTACCTGAATGTACATTAATCATCTGACCTGCTGAAGGAGGGAAAAGTAAAAGGAGATCAAGAGTCAGTATCCTCAGGTAGAATGAGCCCACTGGAGAGGTGGGCTAAGTGGCTCCTTTGTTCTTACAGGTTGACCAAAGTGGTTCGTAGAAGTCTCATCAATCTTGGCCGAGCCATCAAAGGGCAGGTCCTGATGTCCTCAGAGCTGGAGGAAGTCTTCAATAGCATGCTTATGGGTAAAGTGCCATCCATGTGGATGGCCAAGTCCTACCCTTCGCTGAAGCCCCTGGGGGGCTATGTGGCTGACATGCTGGCCCGCCTGGCCTTCTTCCAGGTACATGGGAATCAGGATAACTGGGCACCTGGCATGCTCATTCAGGTGGAGAGGTCATTCTAAAATGACAGACTAGAGGCAGAGGAAGTAGATGAGGCAGCCATGCAGCATCCTGGATTGAGTTCCTACTGGAAACAGTCTTCCCAGAATTGAGGGCAGGAGGGAGTTCAAAGGTCTTGGAAAGATTGTAGCCTATGGAGGCAAGAGTAGAAACTATTATAAATGTCACAAACTAGTGGCTCATGGGCCAGATTTGGCTAAAAGACATGTTTTGTTTGGCTGCCTGGTAATTTAAGATTTTTGAGCTAGTATGTAAACATTGGATTATTACACATAAATATCAAGATGCTTGTCCTGCAAAAAAAGATCTGAAACATTACTGCATTCTTATATGGCAACTGTTGCTGCAGGAGTGGTTGTTACTCAGTCCTGGACACCAGCTTGCCCAGAGTTTTTCTTCAAGTAGAAACATAATTATTTGTACCTTCATTTCAAAAGTGGGAAAACAGAGGCTAAACTGAGAGGCTTTTTTCTCTTTTTCAAGGAAAAAGAGAAAAAAAAACATTGCTTAATGGGACTTATTTATATTACCTGCCTTAGAACGATCTTTGATTCTTTTTGTTGATTGTTAATGATTTCTATGGCCCTCCAGAACTGGATTGACAATGGACCCCCTGTGGTCTTTTGGATCTCTGGATTCTACTTCACACAGTCTTTTTTAACGGGTGTCTCTCAAAATTATGCCCGGAAATACACCATCCCCATTGATCACATTGGATTTGAGTTTGAGGTAGGTGTGCTTTGGGTAAGGTCAGCCCAAGGGATCAAGCAGAAAAGCCAATGTTGTCCATTTCCTTATTAGTCTAAACATTTGGATGCGTTAAGGCACAAATACTTCTGTGATGGTACAACTGAAATGTTTAGCATGACTTAAGTTAGTTCCAAAAGTTATTCCTGACAGAGGATTCCCAAGGCTTTGTCTCTGTATATAAAAAGATTCTTCCAGAAGAAAAATGAGCCACCATTATACCAAGAAAAATGAAAGCACTCTCCCATGCTATGTAACATGGTGGACTCTTCATTTGGAAAGATGTTAATGGTGTTTGGTGGTCTTTTGCTTGGAGTCAAGTTAAAGGAATAGCCAATAGTCAAGTATCACTCTGCGCATACTACATAGAGTGAACAGAGCAAGACGGACTATAATAAAGCACTGTAAAAATTAAAATTCTGTGGAAAGGTCCTTTGTGATCTAGACCAGAGGTCACAAACTGGTTGCCCTAGGTCTCAATTTGGTTTATGAATAAACTTAACTTGGTGGACCTTTGAAGACAACGTTAGCCAAAATTAATGCAGTAAAAAAATCATAACTGGGGTAAACATTGGAAAAACATAAAATCATATTTTTTGTTGTTGAAATGATTGTATACTTAGAAATCCTAGAATTTGTAAGGTAACTGGTTAAATTTACAAAAATCAATAGCCTCTTCCTATTCTACTGATAAGTACTTAGAAATAGGAAAAACATTCCATTCACAAAAAAAATTAGAAGATTTGAATGATTTTAAAATGGAGCTTATGCTCTCTGGTTCACCATAATCCCCACCAATCCCTATTCTGTAAACCTAGATCATTTTCTGCACTTACCTGAAGAAATCTGAGTTCTTTACTAACTCTGAATCTAAATTGTGGTGGGCTGGAGCTGGCTCCTATCAACTCACCAGAACCAGCTGGAGCTGTTTGTTAAATAGCTGATAGCCTGAAATTGACTGTGGTAGGAGTCTGCACACTACAGAAATTGACAAAGACTACAAAATATGCATTATTTCTGCCTCCAGATAACTGTTTTACTAGTATGCATATGAATCTAACCCCTCACTTTATAGATCCAGGTTCAGAAATGGGAAGGATTGTGCAAGGTCACTAAGCTAGTTGCAATGAGTTAATGTGGCCTCCTGGCTTCTAGTTCAGTGCATTCTCTGCCTGCCATATAGAAATGCCACCTAGAAATCTCACCTGGTCCATGTATGGTAGGCAGAAATATTATCATAGAAGCCCCTATGACATAAGTGTCCTGGGAGGTGTATTCTGGGAAAGGCAGACATTGCAGCCAGGCTGCACTTTTCCAGACTCTTAAAAGGTAGAAAATGGCAAGTCACGAAACTCATAGCTTCCACTCTTTCAGGTAACCACACAAGAAACCATCATGGAGAGTAACCCAGAAGATGGGGCCTACATAAAAGGACTCTTCTTAGAAGGAGCTCGTTGGGACAGGAAAAGGATGCAGATTGAGGAATCTCTCCCTAAAATCCTCTATGACCCGTTGCCCATCATTTGGCTGAAACCAGGGGAAAGTACAATGTTTCTCCATCAGAGCATTTATGTGTGTCCAGTCTATAAAACAAGTGCCCGGAGAGGCATCCTCTCCACCACAGGCCACTCTACCAACTACGTCCTGTCCATTGAACTTCCCACAGACAGGCCCCAGAAGCACTGGATAAACCGAGGGGTAGCCTCTTTATGCCAGCTGGATAACTGATAGCATCTCTCTCAACACAGAAAATAAAAGGAATTTCATTCTTGATTATGTCTGTTTCCTTTCTTGAGAGTGACATGGTATGATGATGATAGTGATGATGATGAGGTATTAACAGCACATTTGCTGGGAGCAAGGTACTTCAGAGTAGCCCCATAAAGTAGTATTTTTTTAAAAATCCTTACCCAAGGACATTTTTTTCCATTGCTTTTAGAGAGAAAGGGAGAGAAACACTGATGTGAGAAATATCAATTGGTTGCCTCCCATACGCACCTGGACCAGGGATTGTATGCTCCCAAATCAGGGATAGAACCCACAACTTAGATGTGTGCCCTGACCAGGAATCAAACCCACAAAGTTTGAGCTACAGGATGATGCTCCAACCAACTGAGCCACATCAGCCAGGGGCTAGGTTGTTATTATCCTTATTTTATGGCTACAGAAACCAGGATACAGAGAAGTAATATCCCTCCAAACACACAGCTATTTGAACAGTGGAGCTTGGACTGAACACAGGCAGTGGCACTCTTCAACTAAGACTTTTCACCATGTAGCTAAGCTCCCTGTGGTTACTTTTCCTGTATTGTTTTGCTGTAATGTCCTGTTTTAATTGCTTCTTTCTTAGTCCATTCACTTGGGCTAACACTAGGGCCTGTCAGAAGTTAAAAGACGCTGTGCCACTTTTGTTTTTTAAGGCTCTTGAGATTTAAAATGCATTGCTCACAACCATCTGGTGTGGTAGGTATTACCATCTGCATTTTAGAGATGTAGAAATGGAGGCTTAGAAAAGTAACAAGTCCAAAGTTCCACAGCTGTCTGTGGTAGCACTGGGACCCAAATGCTTCTCTACTAGCCTACACAGATATAGACTGAAGCTTCAGGAACAAAGGAGATGTGAGAGGACCAATATCTGTCACATGGCTACAGTGTGCCATGGGTTGCATCCAGGCCTTCAGATATCTTGCTTGTGCCTGTATTGGGCACCATTGCCTTTCCCGCTGGAGGTTCAGGGAGATTAAGAAACTTGCCTGAGATTACCCAGCAATATCAACACTGCAGAGACAGGTTTGGAGCTGAGGTCTGTGGGGCTGTCAAACTCTGTTCATTTTTCAAGGTCACATGCTGCCTCCCTGCTGAGGACTTGGCAAGTTGTGATGCAGAATCTTGAAAGAGATTAGCTTCAACCATGTCCAAGAAATTTTTAGTTTGTCATTGTTTCTTCTAAGGGCCACTGGAAGAGAATCCTAAGGAAGATAAAAATAAACATTTTAAAATCCTCACCTGGGGTTATGCTTATTGATTTTAGAAAGGGTTGAGAGAGAGAGAAACACCAATCAGTTGCTTTCTGTATGCACCGCTTACTGGGGATAAAATCTACCTAGGTATGTGCTTTAACTGGAAATCAAACCCACCACCTTTTGGTATATGGGAAAAGGGTCCAACCACTGAGCAGCTAACTCACTCTACCTACCTACCTACCTACCTACTTATTTATTTATTTATTTTCAGGACATTCCATTGATGGGTTCGTAACTGAACAAGACATAAAGCTGTTTAAGAGTCTTAATGAGTATGTCTGGCTGCTTCACTTCTTCACTAGAAGAAATGTCCTGACTCAGAGTTGTTGATTTCTTCTGCATGTGGGAAGCTTCTGAGAAACAAACTATTTTGAAACCTCATTTCTTCATGGGACCACGGTGCCAATCAAAATCTGATTTCAGGACTCTGAATTGAGAAATTAGCAAACCAGCTAAGTGATGCCAGAGAAAAAGTGCCTATGAGGAGTTTTGATCTGACCAGGGGTAATCAAGATACCAGAGGAGCCAGTCTCCTGTTCAAAGTAGAGAGGTTAGCTTCCCTGCCCTGCCCCCTCCTCAGAAACACAACTTTTTCTCATGGGGGAAAATATCAGAATGGATAGACAGCTGGAACTGCCTTATCATTCCAAGTGAGACCGTTAGTCATATGAGATGGAAAGATGGTTGGGATCCCAAATCACTGAATCTTCAACTGGTTTGGGTAAGTCACATTGCAAGCTGCAAGGCACTGAGGGGGTTACTAAGACAACTGAATTTAAAATTTTAATTACAATTATCTAACTCCCTCTTCAACAACAAAAGCTGAGGGAGGCAGGGACTGGCCGTTTCATTCATCAGGACTCAAGGGACAGAATGTTTCTGTACAAAAGATTAAATTTTTGTAATTACAAATTTTCCTCCACTTTGAAAAGAAAGATTGCCACAAGTTTGAGGTCCAGTGTGATTTATTAAAGTCTTTCCCTGGAAAAGAGCAGTGTGTTCTTCAGAAGTCCTAATGAGTCAGAGGCTAGAGTCCTGGGACAGAGATGGCCAGAGGTCAGCTCAGTGAGAAGCTGTCAGCCCTGTCTACAAATAGCTCAGCAGATGAAATCAGAAACCTTGTCACCACGCTACTCCTTGCTTTTTAAAAATCTAGTTTTGGGGTAGTTTTTAGTCCTTGTCAGTGTTGGGAGGAAAGTACATGGAGAGAAGGGATGTAGGAAGATAGGTTCTGCCATTAAAAGACTAAATCATGGAGTTCTGGCTGGTGTAGCTCAGTGGATTGAGCATGGGCCTGTGAACCAAAAGGCTGCTGGTTTGATTCCAAGTCAGGGCCCATGCCCACATTGTGGGCCAGGTCCCCAGGGGGGGCATGTGAGAGGCAACCACACATTGATGTTTCTCTCCCTTTCTCTTTTCCTTCCCCCCTCTCTAAAAATAAATAAAATCTTTAAAAAAATAAATTTTAAAAGACCAAATGATGGAGATCTTATAGTCTTGGAAAGAAAATGAAGAAAACAAAAAGAATATGCATCTTTGCAAAGAAGGCAAGGTATATAAAATTCACAGGTTAAGATTTTTGGCACACAAAAGAAACTCAGAGGCCAGCCACCAATTAGACTGCCTCGCATCTTGGAGAAGGCTGGGTGGGAAAGGTAGTTTCTACACTCAATATAGTAAGAAAAAAAATGTACAGTTAAAATCACCTTGAATTACTGATGGAGACAGGTAAGCCACATGTCACCTGGTCCAGCAGTTAGTTTTTCTTCCACTGCAAGAATAGATCAGCATTTCATTGGATCTGAAGATGAAGTAGTTGAGTTCACAGGCCCTAGATTGAATGAGAATACTTAAACATTAGAATTTCCTCTGGGCAGGGAGACGTATTCACAATGAGACTAACTACATGGAAGAATGACTGATGAGACAGCAGAGTCATGTCTTCAGTTCAAGATAGACTGGGGTGTTGTACTAATTGAATGGCCAACACACCTGCCAGTACATTTGGAGTTCTGTCTCTTTAGCAAAGGCCTATAGCTGCACTAATGTTAAATACACCCATGCTCTTAATCCCCTGATACAGTATTGTATAGTAAAAACTATATTGTAATAGTATTATAGCAATATGTATTTCCATTGCCAAACCCTGCAATACTTACCCAGAGCATAAAAAGCTATGCTCCTGCTTACAGGAGCAAGCTCTAAGATTGGAATATAATGCCTATTTTTAAAAATTTATATTGTGTTTTAGAGAGAAGAGGGGAGAGAGTGAGACAGTGAGAGACACTGATTTGTATTTACATTTATTTATGCATTCATTGGTAGATTCTTATATGTGCCCTAATTGGGGATCAAACCTGCAACCTTGGCATATGGGGACAATGCTCTAACCAACTAAACTTAATATGCATTTAAGTGAAACATGTGTTTTTGTGTATGTGTATGAAGGAGATAGGGATGGGTCTCACAAAATTTCCATGAAAAACCATGCTCAATCCAATGATGCACTTTGTAAAACAAACAAAAAAAGATTTTACTTATTTTTAGAGAGTGGGGCAGGGAAGGAGAGAAACATCGACATAAGATAGAAATATCCGTTGGTTGCCCCTTCCGGGGACCAAACCCACAACCCAGACATGTGTTCTGACTTTGGGAATCTAACCAGCAACCTTTTGATTTGCAGGACAACGCCCAATCAACTGAGCCATACCAGTCAGGGCATCCAATGATGCACTTTTTAAGGTGACATTTATCTGGAAATTAGAAGGTGCAAAAGATAACAAAACACACACAAAAAGCCCACTTTTAAACAAATCTGTAACTTAAAAAAAAAGCCTACAAATATTGTGAGGGAGGTATATTGTTTCATGGCAGTCATCAGAACTTCCTGCAAGTAGGTAACTTCTTTCCATCAGCTGACATGTCTGGCGATGGCATTTCCATGAGAAGCCCTGTCATTCTTCAGTCTTCCTCCCATAGGCTTCCAAATGATGCTTTCAAGGAGGCTGTAAGGCCCATGACTTCAAGGATTAGTGTTGTCCACTCAGGCATGATGCTACACATCATGTGGTAAGTACCAATATTTTGGAGGTTTTTAAGAAGATAATTTGAATTTTTGCCCCAATCAAGGAGAAAGATTTTGTCGTCTGGTTTACATTCAAGACCTAGTTGGCTCATTATTCTGAGAAATAAACTTTCTTCTGGATTAAGAAACCTCATCATGAGACTTGAGATATACTGGTTTGGAAAGTTTCCTCAGTTTTTCTTGGCTTTGAAGTCGCCGGCCTCGTAGTGGGGTAAGCCCCATTGGAGGCAGATGAATCTGAGTAAGAAAAATAAGAATAATGATAATATTAGGAATTATAATCATTGCAGTAACTTATATTTATTGAGGACTTACTAAATACCATGTTCTCTCCTAAGCACTAAATCTACAGAGTCACTAATCCTTATAATCATCTCATAAGGAACTATATCAACATTAATAGATGAGAAAATGGAGGCTCAGAAGTTACAACTTGCTGAAGACTATACAGTAAGTGGTGGAACTGGGATTTGAACCCAGATATGTCTGATGCCTGCACTCTTCACTGTGTTGCCTGCTTGGAGGAAAAAAGGGCCACAAACAACACAGTGAGATAAAAACGCAAAGACGATGAGGAAAAAAGTGTGTACACAAAGATGTTATGTGCATAGTAGCAAATGGGGACTGACTTAAAATGCCTACTAAAGGGCACTGGTTGAATGACAGCACATTCTCACAATGGGACACAAGGCAACCAGGTGAAAAGACAGAGGCAGACATGCCAGGATGTGAAGTAAGACACACAGGCCATAAACAGCACACACTAGGGTTCCATGTACTTAGTGAAGAAAGTGTACATACATGAGTGCACAGACAAAACTACAAGGGTAAATAACTAAACTGTTAGGTTGAGCCAATACCATAAAAAACTGCTGTTTTTTGTAGGTCAAGTGTAGAAAATTGGCAATTTCATATGGTCAACCCAATAGTCATAGAGGTTACTTCCACAGGGTGTGAATTTGTGACAAATTTCACTTTCTACTTAAGCATTCCTTTAATGTATGAACTTTATTTGTTTATTAATACACCTGTCCTTCATAATAAAGAAATCTTTCCATAAAAGTGAAAAGAAAAAGAAAAAGCTATGTAAATGTGAGCTGGCTTTCCCTTCTACAAGTAGGAAAGTTTTGCAAGTAGGAGAAATCAGGCATTCACTGACATTTGGGTTGGTTGTGATGGGTTGGAAGCATACAAGTACAGCTTGTTTTCAACATGTCTCCTACAATAGTTCTAGACTTCTCAGCAAACCCTCAGCAAAGGATAAGTACCCACCACGTATTAACTGGGGTCATACTTACTGGCCTTGGATAAGGAATCTGGTAATGTAGTCCAATTTCAATCCTGGCTGTGCATTCATCTATACACTGCTTAATCAGGTCTGTGTCTGTAAGCTAGTAAAAGAGGAAAACAGATATCTTTCTAATGCTATTGCTACACAGAATATAGGTGCATGTTTTCTGAAACTTTCAGTTTACCAGCCAAGAAATTAAATATTGAAATTTGAAAATTCAGAAGCAATTTAATGTAAAATTTACTGTGGATTAAATTTTTAAAATAAAGTCTACCTCTTACCTCTGTCTCCCCGTTCCTCTCTCAAGGACAACAGTAACCAGCAGTTTTTTGTTTGTCCTTCCAGCAATATTCTCTGAATATATCAGCATACATTTATACACTTCAGTTTTCTTTTTGTACACAAATGACAGCTCACTCTGTTCTGAACTTTGCTTTTCATCACTAATAAACTGAAGCTCCTTCTACATGTACACATATAAAACTACCCCATTCTTTTTAACGGCTACACCAAACTCCAACATAAGTTAACCAATCTTCTACTGGACATTTAGGTTATCTCCAATCTTTGCCATCTTAAACAACTCTGTTATTGATCCCTCTAAATTTTTTTGGCTCATTGCAAATTATCTAAAAGATATTATCTAAAAGATAATTTCCTGCAGAAAAGAACTGTGTGTCAAAGGGTATATGTTCGTGCATTTTTAATTCTCACGGAATTAAATTAATTCTCTATATTCAAATTACCCTCTAAGACAGTGACTTTCAGCCTTTTCCATTTCATGGCACACATAAACTAATTACTAAAATTCTGAGGCACACCAAATAATATATTTCTTCTCATCTGACAAAAAAAAAAAAAAAGGAATAAGTTTGATTCATTCACACCAGACAGCTATTGTTCTGTTGGCTGCTGTACTTTTTTTTTAGTTTGACAGTCTAAGGGAAAAGAAGTCCAGTGCCCAACTGAATAGTCAGGTATTGTATGTTTTAAAAATTGTTGTGGCGCACTGGTTGAAAATTGCTACTTTAAGAGGTTGACCAATTTAAATTCCTACAAGCAAGCTATAAATTATATTCCCACAACACTGAGTGTCTTCTTCATATCCTCCCCATGTTGATCAAATTTTGAAGTAACCCAACTGGGTCAGCAAGTGCTGTCTGGACACCCCTGAGATATTGGAGAATGAATCATTTCTCATTTTGCACTGTGAACTGCTTTGCTCATTAGTAAGGGGAAGAAATGGCTTTTGAAACCCTAAAATAGTCAAATCGTTGTAGTCCAGTTTCAAGTAACAGAATGACAAATACATTCCAAAAAACAGAAAGCTAGGTGAAGGGGAGAGAGCCTCTGATTCCAAGGATGCTAAGAGTTTGCAAGTGGCCTCAAAGTCAAGCTGGGACTGCATCAGCCCCACATGATACCCACAGGGAAGTCTGGGCCACATGGCTTGGAAATTCCAAGGTGTCCTATGGCACCTCTTGAAGTAGAGGAATTCCAGGACTTGCAATGCACAGAACCCAGTTGAGTCCCTTGGAGCAGAGGCTCAGCTTTCTGACCTTCATGCTTCTAGGAAGCTATTGCTTTGATGTCCACCTTGGGAACATGTCCATGTTCTTCCCCATTTGCTTCTTAGGATTCAGAGCAATTCATGAGATACCCTTGGAGTATTATCAAGCTCTTATAGACAGTAAGGTTATGAGAAACTACTTTTGTCTGTTTGCATGAAGGATGGTGGAGAAAGAAGCCCCTGATAAAGCTATGGTTAAAGGGATTGAGGGCTCCTGGGGCTCCAGTTGTCCATTTGAACAAGTCTGGGTTAGAGTTCTCCAAATCCCACCTTTTGGAGGCTGCGTGCATGATTTTTCTACATCTACATACCACTTATACCAATATTAAATTTTTTCTTTTCTTTTCTTTTTTTTCTTTTCTTTTTTCTTTTCTCTTTTCCTTTCTTTTCTCTTTCTTTTCTTTTCCCCTCCATCCCTCCCTACCTTTGTTTATTTATAGAGAGAGGGAAGGGGAGAGAGAAAAAGAGGGAGAAAAACATTAATGTGTGGTTGCCCCTCATGTGCCCCCTGCTGGGGACTTGGTCTGCAACCCCGGCACATGCCAGGAATCGAACCAATGACCCTTGGATTTGCAGGCCAGCACTCAGTGCACTGAGCCACAACAGCCAAGGCATAAACTTTTTCTTTAAATGGATTTTCCTAAGCATTGTATTTGTGAAATGACCTGATACTCTGTTTTCTTTCTAATACATAGTAAAACAAGCACATATGTTAAAATTAAAAGCCCATGTACCTCCCTCAACAAATAAAATCTCACTCATGTACCATCATTGGCACATATGTGCCCTCTGGCTCCCACCACATTAGGCCAATTCAAGCAGAAGCAAATGAAGGATTGATTATTGCCGTAACTGAAAACCCAATGGATCAATGAGCCCTCAGGTGAGTGAGCCTGCAGGGGTTTACTGGGCATGTACTACTGTGATATCCTCAGCACCAGGCTGGACACTGTTATGCCTGCCTTTATTGGTCCCTGCCTTTATTACCTAGGCAGAACAATTCTGACACTTGAAGCTGCAGAGAAGACACAGTGGTACATAATCAACTAGTATATAGGAATTCATCTTGGGGTCGGGGAAGGGCAGAGAAATTGAAGAAGGCTTCCTGAAGGTCAACTGAATCAAAGTATTTGTAAATGCTTGTTAATTTATGACAACCACAAGGCAAGGCCCATGGGATACGCTAGGAAAGTACAAGTCACTGTCTGTGCATCTGAGGAAATGACAGCCTGGTTGGGGAGCCCATAACAATATAAGTGAAACAAAGAAAGGAAGAAAAAGTCAGTGGTCTGCAAACTTTTCAGATCACCAACTCCTTTCAATAAATACCTTTGAATTCACAGATTCCATATAGGTATTTATATTGATTTTTTTTAAAGGATGCAATAAAAACAGAAACAGCACTTACAATATTCAATTTCCATTCCTCCCAGGACAGTTTTAAGGATCTCAGAGCTATATATACTCTGTTGTGGCATGCAGGGTATACACTAGAAACAAAAAGTGTTTGGAGAAGCTGGAGGAGGGTCAGAGGGTAGAGAAGCTTCACATGCAAGTTGGCTGTATAAAGCAGGGAGCTTTAGGGATTCTAAGAAGGTAAAGTACTAAAGATGGGGAGGGTTTCTTTTGTAGCACTTATCCCAACTGTAATTTTACACTTCTTTCCCTCTAATTCTGACACATCTTTGAGGGGCCCATGTCTTGGTTTTGCTCATTTTATATACTCAATGTCTAGTCTGGTGTTTGGCACATGGAGGGCACTCAGATACCTGTTGAGTGAAGGAATGAGAGCCAAGCGTTTTAGAGTGGTGACAGGAGCCACAACAGAAATGGACAAGCCTGGAATGGGAGAGGAAGGGAGGCAGTCTTGTGGAAAGATGAGTTCTACCTTAACCATTATGCTTGGGGTGGGGGGGGAGGCTCCTTCAAGTGGGGTGGTGAAAAGCTGAGGCTGGGTGTTCAGACATGGGAGCTGGAACCACAAGGTGGATGCTGGCTTCTTCAGCCTCAGAGCATATGGCTGACCTTCGGAGGACCCATAGAGCTGGCAGCAGGGTATGTAGAGAAGGCAGAGCCAAAAAGGAGACAGAGACAGGGGTCAGAGAGGAAAAAAAAAGAGTAGAAGTCAGGAAGTTCATGAGGGAACAGGAACAGCATTGAATCTGAGAGATCAATGCAGCGGATGCAAGAAAGGTCAGGAACTGGAAGCCTCTTCCCAGGCTCTGTGCCAGGCACTCTTCCTAAGCTACCAGATAATGTTTAAGGGTGTACTGGGACAAGTCAAATTGAGCCTCTTAGAAATGGTTTTTGGCTCCCTAGTGTTTGTCTGGGTGTACAATTCCATTCAACTAGTTCACGGGAACACTATTTTACCCAATTCTGTGATTCCAGAAGGCAAATTCATTATACTAGCCAAAGAGGCTTGAGTTCAAAGCTAAGTTATAAAGGAAGCCCTGTGTCTTAATCCTGTTCTCCTCCCTCAGAATGGGTTTATACTTGGAGGCTTTGAATAGTTTATGAATTGAAAAAAAATTAACTGTGTATCTCCTGTGGGAGTAGCCCGCAATAGGCATAGCATGTGAGGGCCTATTCCTCCTTTGAAAACTTTCACTGGCCTGACTCCTCTCACCTGGCTCGGTGGTCTTCTCAGGATGCTGGGACACTGAGCTAATTACTAGCTGGACCAAGACTGAGATGAGTGCAGAGAGATACCACAGCTAGTCTGTTTTCTGGTGGCTGGGCAGGTTAATCAGGCTGTGCCTCCAGCCCCTGCCTGCCCATGTTCTGCCACTGTGATTGTTCAGTCCTCCCAATATTAGGACAGAAAAGAAATAACAAACACATGAAACTGCTCTCCTTGCAATCTCCAATGGAGGCTACTCACGTTTTTGTTTTTCTGGAACAGCATCCTGGCTTCATTTAATATGTATTGTTTTTCTTTAATGGTGTCTTCCATCTGCCCTGATGCTGCCTGCCATTTCCTCACAAGCCTGAAAATTCGGCGGTAGAGGGCAAGAACTTCTTGTCTTGTTGCTGTTGTCATCCTCAGACCCACCAAAATAGAAGAGGGGAAATTTGAATAAAAATCCAACCTGACAGTAGGCAGCTAAGAGATACACATTTTTAAAAAAACAATAAGGCTCTTGAATTAGACTAAAAATAATTGCCCTTTCTCAAGTAGTCTTTTTAGTAGCATTGCTGGACAGTTGTGGTACAAGTACCAACTATCTCTCAGCTGGCCTGTGCATCACTGCACAGTTGAGGGCCACTCAGCTACACCATGTTCCAAGACAGCCATTCTTATAAACCAAAACCAAAATACACATTTACTATTCATTAAACCACTACATGCTTTACCAGAGAATCTTAGGAATGATGGTTTCAGGGTGTATTCTGATAAAATTACATCACTGATCTGAGAGCCTAGGAGATGGCACATTTTGAGTGATTGAATTTAATGCAAGGATTGCAAACTTAAGTTCCTCTAAGGATGGCCTGCAGGAAACCTTGCTGGGTAGGGATAGTGGCCAACTGTAGAAGACATGCCGCCTTAAAAGGGGATAGTTGCTACTCAGCCCCAGCCAGCTGCTGCCATGTAGAAATGAGGGCCTAGGGATGCCAGATCTCCTGATAGCTAAATAAAAGGCCACCTAGATTTTTAAACTATAAAGTTTCAAAAGTGATACTAATTCATTCCTTTTGAAAATGTGAGTACCACAAAGGCTAAACAAATTTTGCCTGCAGGTACAATTCTACCTCTTATTTGATCATAACCTTTTTGAAAATATTTCTTAAAATTATTGGTCTATTTCCTTATGCAGGTAAGAACTGTGCAATCAGTGTAACGGAAAATCTTTATGATGGATGACTGAAATCTTGTGGATCCTCTGGGTTTTTACTCTGAAACATCAACATTTTATGTTCAAAGCACTTGTATAAAACCTGACCTAAATGCATCCTCTAAAGTTAACTGCATTTTTTGCATCACCCACCATCAGAGAGATGTAAATTAAAACCACACAATGAGGTACCACTTCACACTGGTCAGAACGGCATCATAAACAAATCAACAAACAATGAGTGTTGGCAAGGATGTGGAGAAAAGGGAACCCTAGTGCACTGTTGGTGGGAATGCAGATTGGGGCAGCCACTGTGGAAAACAGTATGGAATTTCTTCAAAAAACTAAAAATGGAACTGCCTTTTGATCCAGTGATGCCACTCCTGGTATTATACCCTAAGAATCCTGAAACACCAATCCATAAGAACCTATGTATCCCAATGTTTATAGCAGCACAATTTACAATAGCCAAGTGCTGGAAATGGCCTAAATGCACAACAGCAGATGAGTGGATAAAAAACTATGGTACATTTACACAATGGGATACTATACAGCAGAAAGAAAGAAGGAGCTCCTATCCTTTGCGACAGCATGGAGAGCATTAAGTGAAGTAAGCCAAGCAGTGAAAGACAAATACCATATGATTTGTCTTATAAGTGGAACCTAATCAACAAAGCAAACAAGCAAGCAAAATGTAACCAGAGACACTGAAATAAAAGAGCAAACTGACAGTGACCAGAGGGGATGGGAGAGAGGGATAATGGGGGAAAATAGGGAAAGGTCCATTAAGGATCATATATGAAGAACATATGGACAAAGCCAAAGGGGCTAGGTTTGAGGGTGGGAGGCAGGAATGGGTGGGGTAGGGGGCTGTGGGGTGAAAATAGAGACAACTGTACTTGAACAATAAAAAAAGCAAGCAAATAAAAAAGTTAACTGCATTTTTAAAATTTGTGTTATATTTATTTTTATTATAAAATATTTCAGATATACAAAATGACAAAGTAATACAATTAACAGCCATATATTCACAATGAACCTTTAAAGAATAAATTATATACAAAGTTGAAACCCCCATTGTACCTCTTCCAAATCACATTCCCTTTGTTCTCTACTAGAAGGAAACACTATCCTATATTCATCTTTCTCACACATATCTTTACATTTAACATTATATAGTATTACTTAAGTTTAAAAACTATACACATAAAAAGTTGTCTTTTCACAATTTGATTTTTTGCCCATATTTTTAAGATTTATCCATGATGTTCCACATAGTTCTAGTGCACGTATTCTCACTATTGCAATTCAGTGCATTGTATGAAATTATCCTGTGTGTACTACTCTCCTGCTGATGGACATTTGGCAAAAACTTCAGCCTATTTCTTTACTATTAAATTTAAATATAGGAAAGAAAAAAAGAAGTTCTACACTGGAAGATTCTGATTAAGTCAGACTTAAGAGAATGAATCCTGTCCTGCCTTTAACAAGTGGGAGGCAGAGAAGAAAACCAGAACACAGATTTGGAGTGAGTGTAGGGCCAGGCACTGGGACACCTCATCATGAATACCGGGCTTTTCTCAAACAAGCTCATCAGGATCAAGAAGTAGACTGTTCACGCCCTTTGGGAACATGACCTATATCCAACCCAAATGGGAGGGGTAACAAACAGAGATAGTATGCTTTAGAGTAGTATTGAGTTTATAAGAATTTGGGCAGCTAAAGAATTTGATGGGAGCTGGAAGGTGATGTGTTTATCCAGAAATTCTAAGTACCAGTAAAGAATTCACCGTACAGAGAATCTTTCAAATATGATTATTTGTTCTACTTACCCTGACCCTGGTGAATTTTCTTGAGCAATGAAAAATGAACCAAGGCTTAACTATTTGATGAAAAGCTTGAAAGCACTACTTCACCCAATTCAAAAGTTAACAGGACTGAAGTTATATTTAACACCAATTCTGATGTCCATGATGCTTAAAAGAATTCCTGAAAACCAGGAATTCTTTGGAACATAATACTTTGTGGCTAATCATTAATAAAAACCCAGCTGAAATGATGACATTTTTCTTAAGGAAAAAGGTTTCTGAGTTTCTGGCTCTCCCTAAAGTTCCATGGTTTCATATGAAAATCTGTGAGTGAGTTCCTGTGAGAGGCAGGGAGTCTGTAACTAACTTCCATTAATGACTGCCTCACTTCCCCATCATTACCAATGGAATGGAACTGACTATATGACCCTGAAGCAAAAGGAAGGTCTGGCATATTAAAACAACAGCAATCCTCTGCTAAGTCGGACTTTTAATTGGTTTCCTTCTACTCTAGCTTCAATCGGTAACTGATCATACACCAGAATCTGTTATAGGAGCCCTGTAATTAAGGTACTCAAGGTAACAAGCAGAAATAACAATTGGTACTTAATAGGCCTATTTTCAAAACACTTTAATAAATGTTTAAGTACTTGGAAAACTAATACTGAAAGAGAGTTAAGTAATGTCTCCCTCTCCAACATCAGTTGACCCAGAAAACCTAAATCTGCTACTGAAGGCATCCATTCACGGGCATGAATCAAAACCCAACCAAATGGTAACAGGAGTTTACAACAAAGTAAAGGTTTATTAGTTGAGGAAATGCTGCCAAATCCAGGGTCATAGATAAACTGGTGCTTAATGACCTGGTTCCTGAATGGCTTCCAGGGGATAGGTTGTATAGGGGAAAATCATTCCACAAGGTGGCTGAGGGGACTGGAGTTGTGGGCTCCACTAAGTGGTTGGGCCAGGATAGAAGTAGTTGGTCACTGTGTTAGGTTTTGTGAGGATGTGGTTGCAGGGTCATTCTGTGTTCATTGGTCTGGGGCTGAAACACAACCGAAATCAAGGTATTATTTATCATTAGCTTGACCGAAATCCTGTTTCTGTGGTCAATAGGCCTGAGGCTTTGTTGTTAAGACAGTTTGATACTGCCCAGAATCTGATGTCCTAAGGGCTTAATGATTAAAGAAAGGAGTGGATGGACAGAAAGGAGAGAAGTCACGTTAAAGAAATGGAGTTTCTGCACAGTTACAAATTCCAAGAATTTCCATAGAGAAGGGTCTAAAGCAGTTTTCCTGTGGTGTACTATTTACAAGCCTGGTCTACTACTTCTAATTCTTGTGTGAAAATGCAAGAAAAAAAATGCTTCTTTTTGTTTTTTCCTTAATAGAAGAATCCTTCAGTTCTTTGAGGAAATCATGTTCTTTCTTACCTTAGGGGTACATACCCATCTGTTTTCCCTTTCTAGAAGGGTCTCCTCTGACCCCCTCCCATGTACCTAACCAACCAACCAACTCCTAGTCATCCTTGAGTTCTCAGTGAAAACATGAGTGTCTCGGATGATCCTTCCCCCCTCCCAACCTCCTCCCACCTCCAGCTTCCTCACTATATGCACCAGATCAGTTCTCTCTGCTGAACTGTCCTTGGTTGCTTGTATTTCTTCTTTGAAGCACTGATCACTCAAGGAATGGTTTGTTAATGTCTGCCTTCCTCGGTAGATTCTAACCTTCATGGGGGCAGTAACATCTGTATTATTTACTGCTGAATTCTCAGCACCTATCAGGGTGCATAATTGGTAGTCAACAAATGCCTGCTCAATAAATGAAAATATCTCATGCTACAGAAACTTGAGATTCTGGAAACAAAATCAGCTGTATATAGCCCTGACTGGGTGGTTCATCTGGTTGGAGCATCATCTATGCAGAAAAGGATTGCAGGTTTGATCCCCAGTTGTGGCATGCATGGGAGACAACTGATCAATGTTTCTCTCTGTCTCACTCTAAAATCAATGAGAAAAAACCATATCCTCAGATGAGGATTAAAAAAATTGTCATATATGAAAAAATTTTTTTTAAAAAGCTCTTTTCCTTTTGGTTTACATTTATTTGTCTCAGTTACTAGGAAGTAACCAGTTTGGATAAAAATGCCTTTTCCCTAGGAGTCTTCCTTCCTGTGGATTTAATGGCTCAAAAAGAACATGTATTCCTCAAACTATCAATGACCTCTCATTGATGCATAACTGGAGGAACCCTTTTCATTCCCCACTAGTTTTAGGGGTTGATCTGATGCAATGGAGTCTCCTAGGATTTTCCCACTGGTGACACCAGAGATAAGAAATTGTTTAGAACACCCCAATTGAACTGCAGTCTCAAATGCCTGTGAAGTCTATTCTTATAG